ATATAAAGAGAGAGAGAGAGAGAGAGAGAGAGAGAAACCAATCAACCTAGAGTTTCTCCATTACCCCAATTTTACAGACTTTTGATAGTTACCAGTATATTGTTGTCCATGTAAATTATTTCATACAAATTATTCACATTACTCCACATGTTTTAAGATGTAGTTAACTCACTAACAAATAAAAAACATATTTGATGGATGACATAAAAAAAAAAGTTTTCCTGCAGGCAGTTTCCCGGAGCAAAAACATATGATGCCACACCACCAGGATATAGCGTGATCGAGAAAATGTGTTGTCATTGCATTATTAATAATTTTTTGGGTCCCTTCTCAGCACATTTTTTTTAAATGTATTAAAACTTTGGGATGATGTACAATACTAACCTGTAGTTTCCACAATGCCTTCCAGGATGACGACAATCTCAAACTGCTCATTCATGAGGGACCGCTGAGACAGGTCGAAAAAGGGGCTATTGGAATTGATCTCATGACATATTGTGAGGGGTGAGACAAGAAAGAGTTGGTCAGCACCCGTTCCAAATCCCACATCCAATTCCCGCTGATCCAGCGGTAGAAACTCTCCCTCAGGGGTTTGACGAGACTAAAGCAAACACAGGGTGAGATAAGCGGTTAAGGCACATTCATAATTTCTCTGTCATATACTAGAATCTGTAGTACTACTTTAAATCTCAACATACATCTCAGACGATTTTTCAGATAAATATCTCAGCCTGTGGCGCTCAGGGGTGAACTAAAAATTAATTGTGCTGATAGTAATGTTTATTTGCACACGCTGCCTGTGCTGTTGTAGTACTGGATTCACTTAAGCAATTATGGAAATAAGGTAACAGCACAAACACGCCCCAAAAAAAGCGGTACTGAACAAAATTTGCTTGATACAATTGCCCAGACCTTTAAGGATGATTCTGAATGTTAGGTTGGGCAGGATGTTGCAAAATACTGTCTAGCATACATTACTGGGATTGTATAACATCTACAATCCAGGTACCTGAATCGCTCATTACCTTGTTAAAAACATCTTAAATCAGCCTAAGATAATTTGCATCTATTAACTGGTCTCTTAAGCTGGTCAGACTGGTCTATTGGTCAGTTTTAGATTATTTGTGCGCATTTTTCACTTTCACTCATATGGCTGCCCAGCTAAACCAGCTAAAAACCAGTTTGGCCACATTGGGAGACCTTCTTAAGACCAGCAAATGTCTCTTATAAATAAAATTGTTTAAATAATGTATCAATATTATAAAAAAACTAACTACATTACTTAAAATTACTAATTTAAAAATTACATTAATATGCTAATTTACATTTTT